TTACCCGTGTTATCTGTGTTACCCGTGTTATCTGTGCTATCTGTGCTGTGTTACCCATGTTATCTGTATTACCCGTGCTATCTGTGTTACCCGTGTTATCTGTGTTACCCGTGTTATCTGTGCTATCTGTGCTGTGTTACCCTGGCTATCTGTGTTACCCGTGCTATCTGTGTTACCCGTGTTATCTGTGCTATCTGTGTTACCCGTGTTATCTGTGTTACCCATGTTATCTGTGCTATCTGTGCTGTGTTACCCGTGTTATCTGTATTACCCGTGCTATCTGTGTTACCCGTGTTATCTGTGCTATCTGTGCTGTGTTACCCATGCTATCTGTGCTGTGTTATCTCTATTTCCAGCCAGTCACCAGAGCGGATGGTCTGGCCTGTTGCATCCAGTGCTCTTTTAAGAGAGCAGAAAGGAACAAATTAACCAGGTTCAGTGTTTCTGCTGATTCCTCTGGCACATTCATCAGCTGCTGCCGGTGCAGGGGGGTGCGGGGCCCACCAGCCCTGTGCCAGCATGGGGGGCAGCGAGCGGAGCCTGTGGGCAGCCCAGGTCAGCTCCAAGGTACAGGGAGATGAGCTGTGGTAGGAGGCAGAGCCCTCAAAGTGAAGACCCTGTTTCTCACTGCTGGTTTTCTGAGCTTTTATGTAACCCTTATGTTTCACTTTTAAAAATAGAAAGATATTTCTCTGAGTTGTATGTTGCAGAAGATAGCATCTCCTTCAAGAAATAAACTCTCCTTTTGACTGGAAATAAAACAAACAACAAAAACAAACCAACAAGCAGGCTCACATCCCTCTTCATCCATCTCACTTCTCTCTCTGGAGAGGACAAGATGTTTAGGACTTTATTTAGGGCAAAGGAGGTTTGAATTGGACATAAGAAAAACTTTTTAACCATGAAGACAGTGAAACACCAGAACAGATTGCTTGTGGCAGCCCTGTCACTGAAGGAGTTTAAAAATAAGATAGGCAGATGTCTGGATGTCTGCTGAAAGTGCTCAGGGTACAGCTGATGTTCTCCGGGAGCAAGGGTTGACTTGGTGCCCTCCTGGAGCCCTTCCAGCCCTGTCCTCTGCATTTCCATGGCCAGCACGAGGGACACAATACCCTTTCCCACTGTAATAGTGAACTCTTTTTCACCCTGGACACTTGCCACTTCCCTCCACCTTGCCAAGCCTCCGTGCCAGCACCATTAGTGAAAGTTGTTATTGAAGAAAAAATACAGGCTCCAGCATCCATCACGAGCAGCACATGCTGTCGGCGGATTGCTGTTTGACATCGTAGCACTTGCAGGCTCCTACATCACACGGTTAAGCCTCCACTGGAGGAATGTGTCTGGTTTATGTTCTCCGTGGTGTTGTTTCAGCCCTTCTAATGGGGCCTGGGATGCTGTCAAATCTCTGGGTCCAGAGCGATGTGGGGGCCACCTGCTAGAGAAGATACTCTTCACCTGCGGCCATCCAGCTGCTGGTTATTTTTTCCACTGGTCAGCAGTGGTATCCCACCTTGAAGACAGGACACAGTGCTGCTAACTGAGCTCCCATTGGTTCTATTACAGAGGAAGATCTTACTGTCATCACATCACTGGGTGCCTGTCACACATCTTTTAGAAGGGGTTCTGGGGCCTCCAGTGCTTTGCAGGTCAAATTCTGGCGTTCCCAGGTAATATTTGGAGAATTAAGCTGATGCTGAGCGTGTTATCCAGAGCCAGCTGTGCTGGGCAGACATTGGGACACCATACCAGTGCAGGTTCAAGCATGCAAAACCCTGGGAGATGCTTTCCAGCCACAGGTGAAGATAGGCACAAGCTACTTGCACAGTTTCCGTTAGCAGCAGCATCAGAGATGGACTGCCTAAATCCTCCATAGTTGGTTTCCAAACAGCCAGCTATGCTTGGGCAGAGATGGTAGAGCATGGCCTTCTCAAAGCTCTGTCTACATCGGGCAGGGTCTGGATAGGATCTCACCCTCCCTGTGGCTGGGAGGGGGCCATTTGGGGCAGGGGGGTCATCTCTGCCCCTGCAGTATGAACAGCTCTCAGCGCTTCCTCAGGGTGGTTTCTGTTAGCCCTGTCCTCTTTGGGTCTTGGGGTGGGTTGACCTTGGTTGGCTCCAAGGTCTTCTGCTGACCCCAGAAGAATCCTCACCTGGCAGTGTCTTGTGGCACAGGTCTTACCTCGGCATGGACTTGTCTTGCTACGTTGGGAGTTACAGAGATTCCGACAAATCCTTTTTCTGGAAACAGGGATGCCATCAGTAGAGCAAAGTTGGAAGAGTCTCTCATTCAGCAATGGGCACAATGAAATGACCGCTGATCACTCCCATGGGGGATTGGGACATCACTGGTTTCTCATTTTGTAGCTTGCTTTGTCCTCATGCAGGTCACAGGCTCCTGTGGAATAAATGCTTCTCCAAAGTAATGAGGGTAGCAGGATCCACCTCTTAATAAGAAACACCCCAGTAGCAAATCCAGCGGTGATGAAACCAGGACTGTGCAGCAGTAATGCACACAGCCCTGTGCCCTGAATGAGGTCGTAAGCTTCGTAATTAAGGCAGTGCTGAAATCAGCCTGCTCTGTGGTCTTACTGCTCACTCATTTCTTTTTCCTGCATGCAGTGAGCACGGGGCATGAGCGAGACTGAACTGTGTCACATCACTGTTGTGCAGGGCAGTCCCTCCTGCAGAGGATGAAAGTTTGATGCTTTCCCACTGGGAAGCTCCCTCAGTTCAACCTTTGTCTTTCCTCCGACTTCACTGTGCTTGAGAAAGGTCAGGCTGGAGCCGCAGGATCAGGCCAGGCAAGATAATGTACTTTATCATTGATTTCCAGTGAGAAGTTGCGTTATGAGATTAAATGTCTCATTTTTATTGCATGGGGAGGCAGAGAGAAAGCAAGAGCTCTGAAAATAAAATAGAAGTCGAAGTGATGTGTTTCTGTTGTAAGGTGCTTGTGACCGGGAACGAACGAATCTTGTTTGCTCAGTCCTTTGGAGGTGAACTTTGAGAAGCTGCTGCCTTCCAGAGTTGGTAAACAAAGTCAAACCTCATCTGTATTTAAAATAATTAATGTGTGTAATTGGGCCACATTTACTAATTCCAGGCTGGTGGGGAATTTATTAAAATGCTTTTCTAGTTTTAATGGATTGAAATAAGCAAAGCTGCTTAACAGTCTCAGACAAAAGATGCTAAATAGGGACCAGCAGTGTGAGTCTGAGTCAGTCCCAGAGCCCCAACGTATGTGGGGAGAGGTGGGAGCATCCCCTCAGCTTTGCTTAAGCCTCTTCGGGCATCGACGCTGCCTCGCTCTGTGCAGACACCCCCCAAGCAAAGGGGACAACGTTAGTGGGACATGCAGTCTCGGCTGCTGTTGCAGCTCTGGCTGTGCTGCCCACTGACCCGCGGGAGGAGCCAGGGCTGAGGACAGGCACTGGTAGGCATCAGCACCCTCCCCGGGTTTTGGCCGTGAGGTGCTCCAACTGTACAGGGGCTTGGGGACCGTCCTGGCGTGCTCTGCTTCTTTTGGTTATTTTTAAAGACCAAGTAGATGTTTTATTTTGCATTAGTAAAAGCATCAGCTATTCTGGCTTTAGTGTGATTTAATACCAAGATTATGGTGTTACAATGCCACAGGATATTTTTAAAGCAATGGATTAGTTAATTTCTAGAAAGGTTTGGATACCGAGATATGAAAAACAGCCAGCTGCAGCTGCCAGATGAGAGTGGGACTCTGAGGACCGCTTGGCTGTCCCAGGCCAGGCAGCACCACGAGCCGGGCACAGGGAGCCATCCCTCCTCTCCGTGCAACAGGCCACGGCCATGGCCTCTCCTGCAGACACTGAGTCCCTGACCGGATACAGGCATGGTCATAGCAGCATTTTCTTCTGCCCCAGGACTCCATAAATCTTCCTATAAAATATCCTCCTTCTAGCCAGAGCTAACTTGTGTCTGTCCTACAGGGTTACTGGAGGCTCAGGAACATCACGGCTTTCTCTTGGCTCTGGATTTCCCCATTGCCTCCCTCCCTGACTCTTTAGCTTGGACGGCTGCAGGTGCTTTGCTCTGCATTGTAATCTGGAAGCTCATCAAGGGAATTAATGAAGAACTGGATATAAACTGGTTGCAAATGCAGATTGCCTCCATGTGGTCGCTGTGGCTTGCAGGATCCAACCCCACGGCAGGTGATCACAGCTCTACGTATGAATGTCTTCAACCACCTTGCCTAGTACTGGCCATGATAAACCTCAGCCATGCCTCCTCCTGATACCCCCAGACCATTCGTGAGCCTTCCCCAGTCACCCTTCCTACCCAAAATGGGTCCTGTGGGGAGCTGCAAAGTCTCATTCTACCCACCCTGCTCCCCCCGGCAGCCTGATCTGCCCGTGGTTGTACACGAAGCAGACCTGGGCTGGAAATGCTGACAGTGCTCTTGACAGTTTATGGTCACAAACTCTATTTTCAGCCTAATAAGTTTTTTATACGCTTGGAAAGCTGTCAGTTGAACATCAGCCAGGCACAAAGTACCTGCCATAAAGTTCCTGGACTGCAACCAAACGGGAAAGGTGCTGCTCTGCTTTAGCAAGTTCTTGATCTCAGCCATTTTAGTTGGTTCATTTATTTGGTTTGAGGATCTTATCTTTAATAATAATAAGATAAAATAATAATGCCACTGCTTAATAATTTGTGGAAATATTTGCTGAGAGCCTGTTAAATCAGAGCTGGAACCAGTTTGGGCTGGGGCTAAGGAGTGGGAGGCTCCATGGTGCTGTGGCTGGTGCCGGGAGTGGGCTGGTCCCTGCGAGGAGCCACTGGACCCCAGTGATGAGGGACAGAGGCTTTGGGAATGTGTCTGGAGAAGGGTCCTGCAGATTCACCATAGAAACACAGTCGCGTCAAACCCTTGGACAAATGGAGAGCGGGCCTGATCCTGAGCATGCCTCTACTCCCACCACGGCAGCGTCACCATGCTATAAATTCCTTTTCTGCATCACAGCTCATGGGGTTGCCAGGAAGGTCAAGGGCGGGAGGTTAAAGGGTCTGGGAATGAATTACAAATATGCAAAGCAATTTCAGAGGGTGCCACGGTGACAGCTTCACTCCTGTCCTGCAGGGCAGCCCCTGCCACGGCGGCACTGCACCGTGGGGACGAGAAAGGTCCTGAACTGCTGTAGGGTTCCTGTGGGACATCCCATGGTGAGCGATGGGCTCTGGCACGCTGTGCAGCA